CCATCTTAAATAATACACGAGACCTTACTAGTACTGAAAGAAGAAAAAAATTAAAAAGGGAGGTGCAGAAGCTCTTTTTTACTGAAGAATGCCAATAAAGTATAAAGAAAATAGGGATACAAAATTGCTATCTACAAACATTTTAGCGGGAAGAATCGCCACTGGGTTGTAAAACGTTGGGTGAAAGATTGTTGGAAAACAGGATATTCACACAATCTCAAAGTGTTACTTAATGAGTCACGTATTACAGACATACCCATTTTATTGTGCTTTGCTTTACTGTGCTTTGTAGATATTGTTTTTTTGTTTGCTTGTTTGTTTGTTTTTGCGGTACGAGGGCCTCTCACTGTTGTGGCCTCTCCCCCTGCGGAGCACAGGCTCCGGACGCGCAGGCTCAGCGGCCATGGCTCACGGGCCCAGCCGCTCCACGGCATGTGGGATCCTCCCGGACCGGGGCACGAACCCGTGTCCCCTGCATCAGCAGGCGGCCTCTCAACCACTGCGCCACCAGGGAAGGCCGATATTGTGTTTTTTTACAAATTAAAGTTTTGTGACAGCTCTGCACCGTCAGATGGTAGTTAGCATTTTTTAGCAATAAAGTATCTTTTAATTAAGGTATGTATATATTTTTAGATAATAATGCTATGGCACACTTAATAGACTACAGTATAGTATAAAAATCGCTTTTAAATATACTATGAAATCAAAAAAGTCGTTATGACTTGCTTTATTGCGATATTTCCAGTGGTTTGGAACCGAGTATGCAAAATCTGTATTCACACGCTTGTATTTTCTCCTCTACAATGGAGAGATCTGGCGGACCTCACCTTAACCAAATCATCAACATTAACGTCTCCAATAATGAGACAAATGGACTGCATCTGCAGCCTGATGAGATGCACAGCTGTGAGAATTCCTGCCCAGGAATGTTTACACCAGAAGCTAAGCATGTACTTCAACATCGAGGGACATTTTTATTTAAAAAAAAAAAAAAAACTAGTCCAGACCCCTTCAAAAAGGGCAATATCATAAAGTAGAAAAGAGAAAAAGAAAAAAGGAAGCTGGCAACGGTTTAGATTTTTAGATTTAAGGGGATTAAAGAGGAATGACTACCAAATCTGGTGTGTGATCCAAGATCGGCTTCTGGACCCTATCTGAAAACAGTATTGTATCAAGCTGTATTTCCTGACTGTGATAATGGTGCCAGGGCTTAACTGCAAACATATTATTCTTAGAAGACCTATGTTGGAAGTTCCTTGGTGGTCCAGTGGGTAAGACTACTCATTCCCAATGCAGGGGACACAGGTTCAACCCCTGGTTGGGGAACTAGATCCTGCACACGTGCCGCCACTAAGACGTGGCACAGCCAAAATAAATAAACAAATATTTTTTTAAAAAAGACCTATGTTGAAATATTTAGGGTTAAATTGTCATAAGAACTGCAATTCTCAAATGATTGAACAACAACAACAAAAAAGTTAACTGGATGGGTGTGGGTGTATATAGAGAGATGTAACCCAAATGTGATAAAATGTTAGTAAGTGGTGATTCAAGAAGAAACGTGTGTTAAGTGTTCACTTTACTATTTTGGCAACTATTCTAAAGATTTTAAATCTTCCAGAATTTTTAAAAATTAAAAGGAACTACTAACCACTGCCATTTCCCTTGCCTCTGCACTAGTAATCTCTATATTAGTAAATGTTCACCACCACCCAACAACTACATATTTACTGCTTTATTTCCTTACTGTCTCTCCCCCACTATAATGTAAGCTTCCCAGTGCTGACACATAGTTGATAGTCCATAAGTACGTGTTGAATGACTGACGCTCACAATCATTCTATTAAGTAGATATTATTATTATCCTTTCTCTCATGTGAGTGGCGCTCTCTTTAAAGGCAAAGGTATGGAGGCACACAGAAGTAAGGTAACTTACAGAAGTTTTAACTGCGAGGGGCGGGGCCAGGTCAGAGGCCAGGCATCTCTCTGGGAGCAGATACTGTTCATCACTGTTAGGCAGCTTTCCCTAGTGAGGTGGGCTTGGCCCCCAAAGGGCTCACTGCAGACCTACACAGTTTCCCTTAGCGCAAAGCCTATTCAGAGAAGGCAATGTTCATGCTTGCGGAACGAAATGACGTCTGAATAAATAAATGAATTAGGTGGGAGAAACCAGCTAGTTCAGAGGATCTTCCTAGAGGAAGTGTGGCTTCATGGGTAAACCGGGTTTTCAGTTGAAGAGAGAGCATAGAGCAGGCAGTAGTGACCAAAGGCGCATTCTGGGACCAGCGAGAGACCTGTGCCTCTGGAGGAGTTACCTTATCCCTTCAACCTCTGTATATGCCTCTCCCTCCTGCCCATAGCCACCAGCATATGAAACCCTCACAGCTCTTTGGGGGTCTGTGATGGTACCTGCCCTGGTCCCCCACCTCCAATTCCTCTCAACTACAATCATTTCTCTTTACTGCTGCCAGATTATTCTTCCTAAGTGGATGGCTCTGATCCTGTCAGGCCCAGAAAGAGGTCTCCTTTGCCTGCAGAAGAGAATCCCAACTCCCAAAGAGGACATTCAGGGCTCCCCTAGGGGGCCTCAAGCTCCCGTGGGCACTGCAGCTCTCCAGTGACACTGATGACTCCCTACTGCCCAAGGTCACCCTCTACACCCTGCTCCCCTGTCTTTCTTTCCCGGTCTCCTGCTCTTGGAATCTTTTCCCACATCACGGCATGTTCACATACCACCTGTCCTCGGAGGCCAGGTTCAAATACCCTCCCTTCCATGAAGTTTCTGCTTCACAAAAGATATTTGATTTCACAAAAGATGTTGCTGTCTTCCCTCTGCATGCCCACAGCACTTTACTTTCACCTCTCTTACAACATTTACTTCTGTGCCTTACACTGTAGGTTCTTTTGAACGTATCTCAACCCCCCATTCCGCAGGCTGTAAGCCATCGATGCACGCACCCCAAAGGCACTCAATAAACGCTGAACGCACAGTGGAGAGGGGAGGTTCATCAGGGGTGTGGGCTAAGGGGCCGGTGGCAGGAAATTCCAAGAAAAGAAGTACTAGTTAAGGGGGTTGTTACTATGCTTCAGGGGTCTGGTTATGACTTAACTAGGGGCCTGTGTGGGGAGAGGTTGATAAGGGTGGGGAGGTAAAAAACGGAGACAAAGGTAACTATTCAATGGCGCTGTCGTGACGATTTAGCTGAAGAAGCGTGCAAGGGATGAACACAGTCCTAGACACTCACACGTTAGTCCTTACATGTCCGGAAGGGAGGGGAAAGGGAACCAGCCGACGCTCCTTAGGAATTCTGAATTGAGGCCCTCGCCTTCCCGCCGCAGGGCAGTTCTGAACTGTAGCCCTCCACGCGGGCGCGGGCGTACTTGGCTTTGGCCGCAGCGCGCCCAGCCCCAGCGCGGAGGCCGGCGCGCGCGCAAAGAGCGCGTTCCTTGGCCCGAGATAAGCTCCCAAGCTGCGGAAGCAGCGAACAAAATTCCCCTCAAGTTCTGCGCTACGGCACCTCCGGCTGGAAGCAGTAACTTAGTCACTTGAGTCGCACTGAAAAGCCACCCCTTCCGGAGGAACAAGAGCGGGAATCGGGGATCGTGTAGGTTAAGAAGGCTCCCCAGAGGGAGGAAAGAGCGCAGGGGAGGTGAACGAGACGGAGTCGCGTCCCTCTTTTTCCCAAACAGGCTTCAGAGCCTGCGGTCCACGTTTCCTGC